CTGCTGGTGTTACAGCTTGGTATGCCAACTAGTGGGTGCAAACCAGTGAGCTTGTCATTGCAGACTGGTTGACAGCTCCAGAGAACCCTGAGAGCATCCATTGGTCAGGTTCGCCTTTGACTTGCCTTGGGAGCGCTGCAGAACACAGTAAAAAACTCACATCAGCTCCTTCTGTGCCACTGGCCAGGCTGCCCAATAAACCAAGTGAAGGAGGTGGTCTCAGCATTGGCTCAACAAGGGGCAGGTGTTGTAGTATTCAGCCTATGGTGATTCTTTGCAGCCAGTACATTGAGTGCGATGACTGCTCAAAGAATAGGATCCGAACGCGTGACGGAGTGGTACGCGTACTGACACGACTAGCGTTGAGCCCCAGCTATACCCATGCAAGCAGGTAGATACAGACTGTTCGCGCGGGCTCGTGACGCGCGGCCGCCTGCCAAGCCGACAGATTATCGCACCCAAAACAGTGAATTCCCAGCACATTCAGGAATTAGTATGACAACCACTCATGACTCCCTGTAGCTCGACTTACGAATGTTGGCGCACGGCATGTCATCAACATGTGAATCGCAGCTTGGCAAGGTCGAGCAGGAAAGGCGGCCTCTTATTTGATACAAGTGGACCGACCGTGGTGCCGGGCATGCAGGGTCCGAACGTCTTTTGCGATGCAGGTATGATGTCAGCGTTGCGCCGCTTCGCCCCGCGCGAGCATCCGCCACGATCCGCCTCCGCATCCGCACTGGGACGGAGGCTAGATGCATGCAGTACCTACCTCTCTCGGAAGGTGGTCATCATGATGGACGACCGTGAGCAGATTCGGCTCTCGGTAAGTGCGGGGCGCCTGCCGTGACCAAGACCGTCTGGATCTAGACAGCTGACGTGCAGTGTGCTGCAGCTAAACGATCTTCTCAGCTTTCCAAGCCTGGCATGCACGCATGAGGTAAGCTTTCCAGCTCGAATGCGAGCATCTATACATTTGTGCGTCGACAAACAAAACTGACACCAGTCTTGCCCGCGGAGACGAAGTAGAGGCTGGCATTGCTGATCGATGTGGCCTCGTGCTTACCTAAGTTGCACACCTCCCTCTTCTGTTCCACATCCTCTTCCGCTTGGAATTCAGTGCACGAGAGCCTTTCCCACACTCTTCAGAAAGCTTTTGCTTGTGCACGTCCTCCACTCACCTCCAGCAACTTGGTCACCATGCCTCCCAAAGACAAGTACACCGATCCTAAGGTGCGTGCATGAAACGTGATGATTGCTATGCCCGAAGCACATTTAGGGTAGACCTCTGACGCCCGACAGATGTTCGCTTGCAGCTTCGCGACGAAGTCAAAGAGGAGATTCACAAATCGGACAAGGGTGGTGCTCCTGGACAATGGTCAGCTCGCAAAGCACAGATGATGGCCGGCGAGTACAAGAAACGGGGTGGGGGCTACAACACCGACAAGGAGCAGGGTCAAGATGACTCGCAAAAGAACCTCAGCAAATGGGGAGAGGAGGAATGGCAGACTAAAGATGGTGATGCGAATGCCAAGAACGACGATGGCAGCAGGAAGAGGTACCTGCCCAAAGAGGTCCGTAGTAGCGTCGAGAGGCGGCCCGTAAGATCTTGATGCTGACTCAACCGCGCTTGACTGTTACCCGCAGGCCTGGGAGAAGATGGACGACAAGGAAAAGGAAGAGACGGATAAGAAAAAGCAGAAAACGTCCAAATCCGGTCAACAATTTGTAGGCAACACTGACAAGGCCGCAGAGGCTCGCAAGGAGGTCAGCGAGAAGGGAGGAAAGGAGAGCAAAGATGGTGCGGCCGAGAAGGAACAAGAGCAGCCTGAGGATGACAATAAGCGCAAGACTAGGAGTTCCAGTCGCCCAAAAGAAGACAAAGCTGAAGAGGCGACCAACAAAAAGTCAAAGACGCAAGCCGACGAGAACAAACATAACAAAGGGCAAGAGAAGCCAAAGAGTGGAGGCGGAAAGAAGACGGGAGCAGCTAATGGCAAGGCGAATGGAGAGAAGGAGAAGGCGGAGGACGGTAAAGGCAAAGCGAGCGGCAAGAAGGAAGCCGATATCTCGACGTCCAAGCACGAGGGCAAGCACGGCTCCAAAGGGGACTCTGCCGAAATTCCAGACGGTGCTTCTCAAGCTAGCGCATCTCGCCTTCCCAAAGCTGGACAAGTGGCGCATTGGAAGTCCATGCCTGGTTGGGTCAAGGGTGAGGTGGTCAAGGTCTTGACCGAAGCCACGACGGTGGACGGGAAAAGCGTGAAAGCTTCGAGGGATGACCCTCGAATCGTTCTCAAGAGCCATGGACCTAGCGGCAAGCAGGCTGTACACAAAGCCCAGGCTGTCTACTTCTAGGCTTGGCTTCGCGTGAGCACGCAGCTGTGTCTATGGAGGAGTCATGGTCTGTCTGGTCAGATTCCAAGCCACTCATGCATTGCATCTCTTCCTCGCACTCCAAGGTACCACGTATTCCTGATTCACGCCCACTAGCATACACGCTTCTGCAACGTCGTTACGACAAACAGACCGTCCTTTTCATCGGCTCGTTCTAGGTCTGGGTATTGTCAGAAAGCGCCCTCGAGCAGTAACGTTGAGGTCCTTGCCCGATTGACATCAATGACGCGCATCAATCGAGCGATGCTCCGAGCTGCCTTGCAGAGGATTGCGTTACAGCGTTGGCCTTGTGCCGACGGTCAGGCCACAAGAGAATCGAGAAGCCAGTGGTGGGAAACGCCTCACCAAGCCTCTTGAGGTGTCATGACGTACGCCTCTTGAGCGGCTCATCAGGCGGCCTGCGTCGATGCCAAAATGTCAGTTTCTGGCTCGAAGGTGAGAGCGGAGCAGTAGGATCAGCAGGAGCGTGTTTCGAGGTCAACCTTCTGTCTCTCTCTTGACACGTTTGCGATTCGAGTCTGGCGTGATGTAATTGTCGTCTTCGCAACCCTCGCTTGAGTCTGTTTGCAGAAACGCGCGCTTCGGCTGTTTCTGAACCCCTCCTCCTGAGGCAGCGTTCAACTGCTCGCCAGGTCCATCTTCCACCAACAACTCGTCCACTATGTCCGATTCACCGTGCGTCGGATTAGGTGGCAGATCCTGCGTGGGGGCAAGAGAGTCTTGTGCACTCCACGCGGGCTCGACTGCACCATGATCCGCAACTCGTCCGGTCTGCGGGGCTTTCGAAGCCTCATCGTTCCTGGGCTCGAGCTTGACGGGCGTGTGCGCGTTTGCAGGCAGCACTGAGAAGGTCGGTCCTTCCTGCACGCCAATCTCCGACTTGACAGGCCCCTCAATAGCATGATCGGTAGCCGTCTGCTTGCTCTGCTCTTCCCACCCGAGCCTCGCAGCTTCCCTCCTCCAATCCTCTTCTGTCATGCCGTTTTCATCAGGCTTTCCCTTGGACTCCTGGGACCCTTTCTTGAGCCGTAGAATAGCGCTCAAGAACAGCGTCCCCTTCTTTCCCCACTCCCCGCCCGTTTCTGGCCTGAAATCGACATACAGCTCAAAGGCTCGCTTATGTAGTTCGTCCACTCCGTGCGCTTCGGTAGCGCCGGGTGGTGGGACCATGTAGGAGTCCGCCAAGAGTGTCAAGGCTCCTATGACGTGCGGGAGAAGTTGACGCATGGCGGCACGCAAATAGTTAAAGGCCTGGTGAGGTAGAAAGACAGCTCATCAGGACTGGCTCTGATTTGTTCCTAACGCATCTTCGACTGACCTTGGAAGGCTCGACGACAGAGCCATCTAGAATGGCCCTCCATTCCGACAGCTCTTGTTGGCCAGGTGATTGCTCCACGACTGATATGCGCATGAGCGGTATCTTGACACCCATCAGCACAAAGTGCTGCGAGCGCGGAGGTCGCGAGTGTGAGTGATGTGCTGCTCGGTCAACGATGAGCGGCCCACTTACAGGCTGATTATTTCCCACGCGATCAGACGCATCTGCACCTGATGTAGACGCGCTGCTCTTCCTTATCACGCCAATCGACTGTCCTCTAGCTTGAGCAGTGATCGACACGTAGCATTGCGCTGCAATGACCACCCAAGGGCCAAGGCTGCGCTCAGCCAAGCGGTGACCTGCACCCACACAAGACTACTCACCGACACTCAGAGCTTCACATCTGGTGAATCCTAATCTTTCGCAAAGAACTACCGCCCAAGCTAGCAAGACCGGAGCTCTATTGACATGCACCCTGCGTGTTGTGAGTGCCTGCTCAACAAGGACAGGAGCGAAGTCAAAGGATTCCACAGATTTTGCGGAGGAAGTCGGCGCGGCGGCCGACTGATTTGTGCTACTGAATGCGGGAAGCGGCCCGTCTCGAAGCTGCAAGCGGAGCATACAGTGTAGTCAGAAAGCGAGTGCTGTCACGCTCAGCAGCAGCAGGGATCGAATCCGCCACGCAGTGCCCTGATCATAGTACCTCACAGCTTTCCTGAGACCCTTTAGGATGCGCTTTTTCAGCTCTACGCCTTGCACACCTGCATTCTCCAGGTCCGCTTCGTCAATGTGTCGCAGCTTTTGCTCCGTATTGAGTCTAGCTCTCACTAGTTGACCCGCCAGCTGGATCGAGCTGACACCAGCGCCCGACTGGCTTAGGGAGCAAGAAGATAGGAGCGAGATGAGTTGAGGCAAGCTCAAAGGTGTTTCTTTGCGCTGCGAAGAGGAATCCTTGTTGGTGGAGCCGTGAACTTCCTTGGTGTTCGCTGCTAAGTCGGACTTTGTCGCTAAGCTGCTAGCGCGACTGTGACTGAGAGCTGCTTGCTGCGAAGCGAGGCGGTCGAGGACCTTTGACTTGAAGGATTTCGAAGGCGGCATCTTCGACCAAGCCTCTTGGTTCGAGCCGCCCAGACGCTGTTTCACTGCCCGCGAATAAAGCGCTCCGGACGATGAGACCAAAGGTCAAAAGCAGTGTGGTCGTAGTGCAGGCAGCATGAAGGACCAGCCGGACGTGGTGACAACATCGAGCGGCCTTTGTAGAGACCGCTGAGCAAAGATGTCGTTTGATGTGGAGACGCACGTGAAGCGCACGCGGCGCACCGCGCACCGCGCACCGCATGGTCCTGTGCTGCTGGGTGTGAATCACAAATCGTGAACTGTGAATGTGGAAACTGCGTCGTGCATGCAGCATTCATCCAAGAATCACATGGAGAGTGCAGCAGCAGGAACTCGTGCCTATAGTCGACCGCCACCATCACACCGCTACCTTCACGCTAGATAAGCATTCAGGTCGCACCGCCGCTCCTCAGTCATAAATACCACAACATCCCGAGCCTGACCCGTCCCGTGTGTCCACTCGTGAGTGCCATACCTCTCGCGCATCAAAAGCACCGATCAGCCCGTTCGAATGGCTTTAGACGCTGCAAATTACAGCCTTTCGTTGGTAGCCCGCCCCGGGCAAGGCGCCATAGTGGACCTGTACCAGCTCGCATCCAACGCAAATCCGGCAACGTCGTCCTCAGTAGCTCTGGACTCGTCTCATCAGCATTCTTCAGGCTGTTCAGCTCAGTACACCTATGAGCGAGCACGGACAGTTGCATATGCTGCTGAATTGAGAGATGCTCACACTTCGGCGGTACTCTCCAAACTATCTACTGCGACTGCCACTCTTACGGAAAAACAGCGTAAAATCCAGCTGTGCAATCCGGACGAGGTGATCAATGTCGATCGCAATGCGGGCGTGTTCAACACAGAGTGGAAATGGATCTGGCAAGGGTGAGTGTGGTTGAGACCAGCCATCATACTCACGACTGCATTTCTTGGTCGTGCAGTCCGCACAGCATTCGTATATTGGCGACTCTCCCATCTCCACTTTGAGCTGACGTTAACATGCGCTCTGCAATTGGTACGCAGAGAGATATTTTCAATGCGGCGGGAGACTGCTTTGGGAAGTCCGTCCAGTTACATGTGTCAAGTAGTACGCAAACCCGATCCTCCAGTAGCGTGAGTGGACCCGCTTTCAGGATCCTTGATAAGACGATTACTGCTGACTTCCGCGAGCTCGCCACGATGACGTGAACGTATCAGAGTATGCAGATACAGACCTGCAAGCAAAAGCCGGGCTGGTCAAATTGAGCTGTACGACTATAACTTGACGCGGCTCGAGGTGCAAGATCGAAAAGGCCTAGAGATCCTGCTCTTGAGTCTTCTACTCAGTCTACTAGACGCAGAAACAGATGACAACAATCCGAGAGCTGCAGGTGTGCCTTTTAATCCTCCGGAAGGTGCTACAGAGAGCGGTCGACCACAGAGACCCGACGCTGAAGTGCTGTTGCCAAGCGCCCTGCCACCTGCTCCCAGAACCGAATACCTACCTCCTGCGGGCGCAAGACCGCCCGGTGCACCTCCTGAGCTCGGATTACAGCCGTCTCAAAACCAGCAGGCGGCTACTGCATCCCGACCTTCAGCTCTGAATGTCGATCATGGCAGGGACACTTCTGGTGGCACGTCGATATCGGGCCTCGCTGTGGTACCGCACACGCAAGAAAGCAACGAAATCGACATTGGTCCTTTTGGAGATGTGAGTTGCTCCGGGCCCCAAAAGTACAGAGCTCTTGCAAGCAGCGCATACACAGCATCTTGAGTGCAGAGGCAAGGTTCGAAGAGGTGTCAGTTTAGCGTTTTTGGCCGCTGAAAGCCTCAGAATTTCTGCTGGCAGCCATGCTCATCCTGCGTGCCCACTCCGTCTCTCGTGAAACAGACCCAATCATACGTTGCGCGCGCTTTGCATCTTCTCAGGACGGACCAGGGCGGATCTGCCTGTGATCTCATCATACTGAGGGCATTTACTGTGGACACGACGCCGAGAGTGGTGCAGGTCGCCGCTGGAGTCAAGGCCGCATGGTATCGTGAGTGCATGTAAGACCCGTGCCGTCTCAAATTCGAGACATGGGAGCGCAGTCTTCGGCGTCGGCCTCGTCAGATCCGCAGAGATTCGCGCATACTCTTGAATGGTGTTTGACAAGGTTAGATGCTTGTTGTGCCTTCTCCACCGCAGGCCTCGCACCAACTTCGAAGGGCTCGAGCAATTCTGGAGAACTGTATCAATACGTCCGAGATGCATCAATGGACTCACCCTCTCCGCGGCGGGGCAGCAATCCCAATTCGCCAACCAGAGCTCCTCGCTCACGGATACCTCTGAACGAGCCAATCAAGGGCCCTAGTGGGGCTACTGCTGCTCAACTGCAGTCGTATGCTCCACCGGAGAAGCTCATAGTGTATCTGAGCAAGGAGAGAATCGACGAATTCGAACGACCTGGAGGGGCAGCGGTCGGCCTGGGGCCAGGCTCGACTGGGAGCCTACCCTCGAGCTCTCAAGCGCCTTACATACCTCCAAAGACTGGCCAGCCCGCACCTAGCTGGTCGGCAAGTTCGAAACCACATTTTCAACAACCGTCAAGCCCTTCCGGCAGCTCCCCGGCTCAGTCACCTGGTGCGGGCGGCAAGGATGAGAACAAGCGGCTCTCGACAGGCGTAGGCAAGCTCTTTGGCAAGCTCGGCAGACTCAAGGGCTCGGAACATTGATACCCCTTGAAGACTATGATTTCAAGATTGTAATGAAATGAGTCATTGAACTCGAATTTGCGGGGCCGGGCGAGTGGGAAGGACAACGTGAGTGAGGCAGTAGACGAGCTGAATGGCAGTGATCGTCAAATCCTGGATCTACAAAGGGTATACGAAGCGCAAATTCTCGCGATCGGTGAGGTCGAGATCTTCGTTCTCGATGCTGAGTTTCTCGCTGTTTCCAAGATCGAGTCTAGCTTGTTCGACCTTGTGCAGACCTCTTTCACCTTCTCCAAGCGCTCCATCCTTCGTCTCTCCCTGGGCCAGTAAAGCTTGACGGCGCCTGTTCTCTTTCTGCAAATGCCAGCGTATGACGAGACACATGGCGGGTGAAATAAACCAGAAAGCGGTCATGAAAGCCCAAGGAAGCTTGTAGCGGGGTGCGTACTGGGGTTGCCAGAATCTGCGCGGTGCGGGACGCTGTCAGCACTGGTGGCGTTACAGTCTCTGAGGCTGGCACCAGACCTCTTTGAACGCTTACTCCGGGGAAATCATATTGGCAACCGAAGCTGCTACGATGCATGAAGACATGAGGGCAATTCGCTTCGTGTGACCGGTCGTCGTCGTCCCAGCCCAAGACAGACCCAGTCTAGGTGGGATGTAGGGAGCGGCAGCAGTCAGCGTCATAAACGCAGACGAAAGGCACCACGAAGACGACTCACAAGTATGACGGCTTGAAAGTCGAAATTTGCGTGCCAACGACAAGCGCTACTTTGTTCGACCAAGGAGATGCTAGCTCAATAATGCCGCCGATGAAGCACGGGATGTAGGAGAGGGCGCAGGTGTAGCCGACACCGAGACGAGTGCTATACAGCATTGCGGCTGTGACGAGGATCAGCACTGTCATCATATACGGAAGAGGTTAGTCTGGTAAGCATCAAGGCGTGGATGTGGCACGGCAGACGCATTGTACTGACCCGAGCCCCAGATAGGTTTGACGATGTTGAAGAGAGCACTCTCAGCTGGTGTGAAACCAAAGCCCACAACGATGAGTGGCAACTGCTGCGAGGTATTGTTCGGAAGCTCGTTGAAGAACATGTGGAAGCTGATCGTCCAGGGTGGAATAGAGCAGCGATGTCAGCAGTCAGCTCATTTGTTGCGCGTAGACGACGGCTCAACGCACATGAACAACCAGCTCTTGAGGTCGGTATACAGCTCGCGAAGATGGTGCCATTTGAAATGACGGTTCGCAACACCTGCATGCGTCTCTCTAATCATCGCGATGGTATGTACCTTCTCGTCACGAGTCAGCCACTTTGCGTCGACAGGTGTGTTGGGCAGCTGACGGGATGAAAATGTTACGTGGGAGTCAGTGACGATGAACGGGGAAAGAATTGCATCAAAGCCAACTCACAAAGAGCAGGAGCGGTACAAAGATGGCAAAAGTAACCGCAGCACAGATGATGTGCAGCCACTTCCACGACGAAAGACCGTGAAGCAGCGTGACGTTACCTTCATCGATGATGAGCTTGTAGGCGACCATGGTGAGCATGACGTTGGCGAGTCCACCAGCTGCCCACCACAGGAGTTGCACCCACGGGCTCTTCTTGGGCGGGAAAAACGCCTGATGCAGGACCGTAGTAGATGGTACAATTTGCGACTCGGTCTGGCAATGGACGACAATGGAACAAGTCAGGTTCACCGGACATTGCTTGACGTGTGTCCACGCGACAAACTGACCATTCCGAGGAAGAAACGGAGAGCCATCATTTGCGGGCCGGTGGTGACGGTGCAGTGGAGGCCGATAAGGAGAGCCCAGAAAAACAGAGAGCCGATGATGAAAACACGATGGCCAATGCGTTGAGATAGCCAAGCGCCAGGCCACAGAGCGATCAGGTAACCGGCATAGAACACCAAAAAGAGGTCATTGTACGTTTTCTTCGACATATGAACATCACGGAAGATGCCCATGGTACTAGCCTGCGAGAGTGTCGACTTGTCGAGATGGATGAGAAAAGCGATCCACCACGTTTGGCTGAGTAGTGCCCAGAAGTTCTTGCGAACAATCTTGGAGCGCAGATCTGGCGTGAGTGGGCCAACCAAGTGTCTGTTGGCATTGTAGAAAATCGCAGTCTCATCAGCATCCTCGAGAGAGACGATTGGGGTTGACTCTGCCAAACTCTTGGTGTCGCTTTCCTTCTCCATGATGGAAGGTCTGTCTTGCTGATCCTTGACAGGATCCATCGCGTTGGCCAATGATACCTCACGAGAGACACGGACCATGCTTTGCCTGAATGGGGAGTTGTCGAGGGTCTTGCTTTTTAGTGCAGCGCCAAGTGACTGTTGCGGAGAGCTTTGCTGCCTGGTGTCCACTTCTGCTTTTATAGACGTTTTGAAGCCGAGGCGGCATCGAAGTAGCGAGGCAGAACTGCTTCATTGTGACCTCATGACGAGCGCGATGAGGAGCGTGGCCGAGACAGTCCCCAAAGTAGATCGTGCTAACTTCCATTCGGCGCATCTTCCGACGACGTGCTTGAGAGGCCTAGCTGCATGCGCTCGGCCAGTATTCACCACAATGGTGCCTGGCATTTGTTGGCGTTCGCGGATGGCGCCTTCACTCGCGAGACGGCTACTCGTCGACAGTGGAACCATGCTGATGAATGGGCATACGCTTTGAGAAATGGCAGACCGCCCCTCCAACGCTTATGCGCATGTGCGTACCTGAATCTGAATGGCGAGGACGGTTGGCCTGCCAGGCCTGTGCACCACGTCTGCCAGGCTGTCCGCCCGATCCATCTTCGCAGCTTGAAAAAGTCTGCGCCGTTTGCTCCACTGACGCGGGCAATGGAAGGAGCCATGTGGTCACGAGTCAGGGTTGGCGCCAGTCTAAGTCGACTGATGCTATGTATCTTCGCGATGTGCACTCTCACGAGCTCACCGAGTAGGTATCGGGTGCATAGTATAAGTTGTGAACCTGTTCGTTCGCTGGCTCATCTGTGCTTGTGAGGGACGGCAAACGCCAAGAGTAAGCCTCGCGCTAAGCATGCGTGCGCTAGCGTGTCGTCGATGCATGCATGCATGGAGCATGCTTGACCGAGGAGGTCTTCTTCGCCCTTTGTTGCTATACGGTAGGTACAGTACCATGCGAATCACAATCACGAATGTGAATGCAGATACCTACAGTCAGCGAGTAGAATCTGATGTACTTGGTGAGCGCATGCAATTGGACCCGCGCCTCCATTCACGAATTGATAAGCCTGCTCTCGCATCTCTCTCACCTTTGCTCATCGCTTCCCGTCGGGACAAAGGTCTCCTCTCGCCACATCGAGGTGCACGAGGCGCTTTGCTTTGCCTTGCCTTGCCTTGCCTTGCCTTGCTTTGCCTTGCCTTGCCTCGGTCTATCAGCGGGAGATGCAAGACTTTTGCGCAATCGTGGATCAGAATCAGAATGTTTCGCGCGCGCCGCTGCATGTCGCCTGAGGCAGAGAGAGACTTAATTTTGGCTACGGTGTGTTGCGTGGCGCTGCGCAGGGTTGAGTCAAAGTCAGAGTCGTGAGTGTCGCGCAGAATGGGGGCGCGCGCTGCAGTCGTGAGAATTCGTGAGTCAGAGTCACCAGTGCTGTCATGCAACTAGGAAGGTACACACGCTCACAGATCGCGAATCTGAATGTTGAATGTTGTGGCTCCTAGCTGCCTGCCTCTTGTGGCCACTCAGGGTGTAGGTAGCATTGATCTCGATGCGAAGCGCTACCGAGCACAGCGGTTTACCAGTCGTCATCTCTGATGAGTGGAGGGAGGTACCGTGTTCAGTCTCAAGGGCGACAGCAGCTTTGAGACTCAACGCGTGTACGTAGCAAGGTGATCATCGAGGTGTCCACTCTCACTTCCTCCTGGCCTGCGCCTGTAGCGAAGGTCAAGCAGGCGTCAGGATATGAAGAGAGTCTTGAGTCAGAAGAGTGATCCATGACTTAAGTGCGTCAAAGGTGCGCTGTGGAGCTTGAGTGAGCCTGCTGATGAGTCTCGTCTACCCACCTATCACCTGACCCATCCCTCACTTTACTCAAACTCACACCCGCCAAGACTCAAGACTCAAGACTCATTCATTGACTCACAACTCATAAATCGATCATGACTCAAACTACTCATACAGTCACAAGTGTGAGTCTTGACTGACTCAGACTCAACAACTTTGACCCATCATTCACGTGATTCATGATTCACGATTCAATTTTTGATTGTGATTCACAGATTTGATTCAAGATGCACATTCAAGATTCAATTGTGATTCAAATTGTTGTTTGACTCATGATCAAATCCTTGACGTGACGCGTCGCGTCGCACGGCAGTTCACACCAGACTCGCGTGAATCTTGAATCAACGGATTCGTGATGGCGATCGGGTGAATTCGGTCGAGGGTGAATTGCCGCGCGCGCGCACGCACGTCGGTCGATCTTCCAATCGTGAATGCATGGTGAATCACAATCTTGAATCAAGAATTTGAATCACGAAAAATGTGAATCAAGGAATCCGAGACTCGCGACTCTGACTGTTGTGTCGGATGCACGCAAAGAAAGAGAACAATCTTGGATCTGTCGATGCGTTTGGGCACGCACTCGACCCCGTTTTCATCGTTACTCGCGTTTGAGACTGACACTCAAGACTCACAATAAGTGAGGGTCTACCGTTACTCCTGACTGCCGCTTCACCGGCGGCTCTGCGTGGAGCGTGCCGCTATGGAAGAACCAGGGGAATAAGCGCGCGCGGCCATAAACTCGTGAGTCACAGTCTCGTGACTGCACTCGGAGATTACGGCAAGTATACATACATAGGTACCGGTACATACACTCGTGACTCAAAACTCATCAGACTGATACTCGATCACGACTCTGACTGTTGTGACTGTGACTCTTGACTCACACTGCACCGTGTGCCGCGTGGCCTGCCGAACATGCTGCATGCGTGCGTGCGTGCGTGCGTGCATGCTCT